CAGGGAGGCAGTGAAGGACAGGAAGGCCTGGCGCAATATGGTTCATGGGGTCACGAAGAGTCGGACACGACTTAACGACTAAACAACAACAACTGACTTTTTACATGAAACAAATTTAAAAAAAATTAAAAGTTAGCATATTGTGAAGCAAAGTGCCATTCTCCAGTATATGCATTATCTTTCAATGGACTCCATAAACATTCATAGAAAATAAAATGAATGTTCACTTTGCTACACCTACATACATAAATGGATGGGGGGAGAGAGAAATCAGAGTTTCATAATTGGTTACATCCATTGATTTGTGAATTAATAAGCTTCCCAGCAGCCATTTTGCAAGAGCCTTTCAACATATTCTTGAAATTTCAAATGTGCCCATCAGCCCAAAAAGACTAATGACACATCCTAATCCATGACAACTGGAAGTATCTTATATTTTCAATTAAGCATGCTATTTTAGATACAAGCAGTTCTTGAAATCATGCAACATTTTTAAAATAACAGTTTTAAATATTTTTAAAGAAAATTACATGGTCACTCTGACAGTCCATAACTTATCTCAATGAGTTTTAAATACAGACTTTTCTTCAAACTAAAATTTAGTAATTACTTTTTTCTGGGTTGTGTTCCAACTTGTTTGACGGATTTTTCTTCAGTATAAAAAAGTATACTTCGCTGTAAAGTGGAGATCAACAACACTTTCTGGCTATAATCTAGTTGAACAATTGAAGCTGGTTCTTCCAATATCAAACTGGAATTGCAAAGACCCTAGAAAGAGAGAACGTGGATATAGAACCCTCTATTTGAATAGTTTCAGAAAAAGAACCTGTATTTTAAGCAAGCCTGAAGGTCTATGAGTGCTTGTATTATAGCTGATTCAACTAAATTCAATCACATGATTGGCACCCACTGGAATTTAATTCACCTAAATCATCTCTCAACATCCTGAAAGTGGCCAAATGTTTCATCCTGCCCAGGAGATAAAATATCCACTTACTAATTATTGTCCTATTAACCAGAAAGAGATGCATGCTTGGGTCTCTCAGAGCCACCATCAGATACTAGTCAACTTTAAAAAAACATGTCTCTCAATAATAGATAGTAGACATGTCCCACTTGTGGGCTCCCCAGAGGCAACTGGGCAGCCACTGTGAGAAAAGATGCCGCTGGACTACATATATCTTTGATCTGGTCCAGCAGGAATCTATATTCCAGGAATCAAATGTTTGGAAAATAACATTTTAGACAAATAGCTACTTACCTGATCTAAATCCAAAGCAGAATAAACTATTTTCCCTCGTTCATCCCCAGAATATAGTTTCATTCCATTGGGACTCCATGCCAAGGCTGTAATGCTACTTTTGTGAAAACCAGAAACGTTGAATCTCCGAAGCTGCAAATAAAGACATCATGTATCAACATACAAAAGAGACTGAGGGGGAGAAAGAGGAAATATATAGTGGGTTGATTCATTGGTTCAGTTTACAAGATGGTACTTTTCACTCTATTTTGTTTTAACACATACCAGAAATTTCACTGAGTATGCTAATGGGGGAGGGGAGGGGAGGGGAGGGGAGGGGA